ACAACAAAAATAAAATAAAAATAAAATAAAGTTAAGACATTTTTTATAGTCATTTTTGGGCACTTCAAACGCCACAAGAAGCTCTATCGCAAGATAAGAGCTTCGCGCCCAAAAAAGAAAATATACAAAAAAATTAAAAACATGAATAGATGAATTAATGTACTCGTTGAAAAGTAAAATCCAAGTAAATAGAACATGTTTTATATAACGTAGCAGCTTCATTTATTGTCATTTTACCTTGTTCTGTGAGATGATTTTTTACAAGTTCAATATATATTAATGTTTTGTTTTGTTTCATTATGTCTATAATTAATGGAACACATTTATCTTTCAAATTACAATTGTTCATATATAAATTTTCTAAAGTTTTATTGTATTTTAATCCATCAACAAGTAAATTCATACAATTATCATCTATTTCATTATTGTTCAAAGCAAGATAACGAAGTGTTTTATTGGAGCATAACATATTAGATAATTGATCAACACCTTCAGTTGTCATCTCCACAGATTCAACTATTAACTTAGTTAGAGTTGTATTGTTGACAAGTGCAGAAGCAATAAATGAAATACCCATATCACCAAGTGGATTCTGACTAATAATAAGATTTGTAAGGTTTGTTTGTTTTTGTTTCAATAAACATGCAAATTCATGTGCACTTTTATCAGTTAAATTATTCATAGTTATATCAAGAGTTGTTAATGTTCTATTTTTCATTAATGAAGAAATAATGATCATTAATGCATCATCTCCAAGATTGTTGTTATTTAGATACAAACTTTTTAACATAGTATTCATTTCAAGCATTTTTCCTATTTCATGCATACTTTCAATAGTTATTATTGTTTGACCAATATGAAGAGATTCTAATGTTATATTTTGTTGTAAAATATGAGCAATAACATTTACACCATTATCACCTATAGGATTGGAAGAAAGTTGAAGATCTGTTAATGCTTTATTTACTTGTAACATATGAGCAAGATATTCAGCACCAACTTCAGTGATATTATTATCATTTAAATATATTGTTCGTAATGAATTATTAATTTTAAGAGCATTACTAATAGCAGCAATTCCATCATCACCAATAGAATTTGATGAAAGTTCAAGATGTGTCAATGTTCTATTAACATATAACATGGAAGCTAATTCTTGAGCACCAATATCATTTACTTGATTTTTATTCAAATAAACAGTTCGTAAACTTGTATTTGTTTTAAGTATAGAAGCTAATATAGATGCACCTTCATCACCTAACGTATTACAATCAAGATTAAGACATATTAGAGTTGAATTCAATTTTAAACCACCCATTAATATTAGCATATGTTTTTCATTTATATAATTTTCCCATAAATATATTATTCTCCAATATTTATTTGATATTAATTCATCAGCAATTATTTCCATATCATCATAATTAAGGACTTGTTTTGGAAAACGAATTGATTCTTTTTTTCTTTCTTTATTAATTAATTCTTTTAACATTTTGTTTTCATGGGATTTTGTTGTTTTCTTTGTCACTTTTGTTTCAGTTTGTGGAATACATAATGATGATGTGCATAATGATTTATTTCTTTGCCCACATGAAGAGTTTGTAATATGACGTGTAGATGATGATAATGGTGCAGAATGTGGTTTATTTTTATTTTGTTTTGTTGAAAATTTCGTAAGAGACGATGTCAATGGTGATTGGAGATAAGATGGTGATGATGATGATGATGATTGAATTTCTTTTAGATGAATAACACATAAATCATTACTAGGATAATTTTGATCAATAACTTGAAGTTGAATACCAGGTAAAAGAAGAATTTCATTTATATTGTGATAATATGAATGTTCATTAATTACTTTGCCTGTTTCACATTCAATTTGAAATACTGTTCTTAGTCCTTTTTTACCCAAAAATTGATCTGATTGAATATCATCAAATGATTCAATACATGAACTAAATAAAATAGATACAATTAAATAAAACAACCTTATCAAATCAATTATTCTTACCTAAATCCCCACCAAATAAAACTTTTTCCAATTGGATATTGATTACGTAAATCAGCTTTAACTCCTCGCCATACTGTTTTTTTAGCTGATTTTAATTTACATAAAGCAGTTAAGAATAATTTTAGATAGAAAAAATATGGAATAATTTCAGATCGATCGTTTGATCGAAGTGCAGCATTCAATCGAGCACATAATGATCGATCACTTATTTTCCAATCCATTGTATATAAACAAATTGAAGCAGCTTCATCTTGACTCAATTCGTTTGCAGGATAGGCAGATCTTTCTGTAGCAATATTTGCATTTTCGATTACTTTTGATATCATTCTTTCCAAGTTTCCAACAGACATTTTTAAAGATAATAATGGCGTATCTTCATAATCTTCGATTCTACAAGAGAAAAATATTGATCGATATATTCTTTATCAAAAGGTTATCTCTGATGTAACTTACGGTAAGAGCATTTCTTGCGGTTCATTTTGTACATCGAGAAAACGTTGATTGACTCTGATTAATGTCATATTCTGTTTGTTAAAATATAATTAAAATATAATTCTTTTTAAACTGCAATCGCAGTCGGTATTTATACTAGTCGATGACAGGCAAAAAGAAAGTCATATACGTCATTGCCTCACCTACTCTTGAATTTGGTGCTATGCGACATGGCATGCCGTAATGACCTATTTCAATTTGACATCTGTCTCCGATGTTTGTTCACGATAAAAAAAATAATAACTACTATGTCATGCTCTCGAAATATTCATGTTTGGTTGATTGCAAAATCGCTTTTTCGTTTTATTTTAATTGTTGCTACGGTAAAAATAATGTTGTATAGTGCGTTGTTATTAACAATAACTTACGAATTGGCTCATTTAAAAAAAAAACAAGAAAGACATTTTCTAATAATACAATTTTCAAAAGTAAGTTGTCGCAAAAAAAACGTTTTCTGCAGATTAATCACTATAGATTTTTCATAATTGCAACAATAGAAGTACGTGGCTTTGAGTGAATCAAACGAGATGATGAAATTATACTTTGAGAAGGATTTGTAATTGTAGTTAATATTCAAATGAAGCATCTAGAGAGCTCTCCAATCATGTAAATATCGTACATATGAATTTATCTGTGTGGCACATCTATTTTTTGAAGCATTACTAGATTAATTATTGAAAGGTAGATTTGTGAAACTTTATTCATTCAGATAGTTATTTCTCAATTAGTTAAAAAATCAACAAACTCTAAGATAGTAGCGTAGTAAATGCAACATTAATGTAAGTCAAGAAACTAGCTTTGATACATAAAAAAACTTATTTCATAAGATTTTCTCATGAATAATGTAGTTTAATTTATTATGAGAAAATAAATGATTATGTTGGAGAAGAAATTAATATTTCAGTTTTTCCCATACAAGTAATTAAAAAATCTTTTACGTCAGATAGAATCGATAGAAGATTAGAATGAAATAAAAGTGACAAAGTCGACAGAACAAATGTTACACCTAAAGCACTGCCATGTAAGATAATTTCGGTTCGATCAGTATGAAATGATAAGGGTACCTGTCAATTATGTATAACAACGACATTCATTCAAGTCTGCAAAGCGTATGTGAGTGTAGGATTAATTATTCCTATTGAAGTATGTAATGGAACTCGTTTCACAGACAAATGCCGTTGTCAGACAGCAAAAATACAGTATGGTACCAGATGTCATTCATCAAAACTGAAATCATATGCAAAGATCTAGTTTCAACTTCGAATTTTTGGCATATAAAAAATAATGAAGTTTATACTTTATGTTCAAGACTATATAAAGTTGTCCTATAGGATAAACTAAAATTTTAATGTATTCTAGAAATTAAAATTTTAATTTTTTTCCCTGATAATTACAAATAACATATCATAGTTGCAGGTTATTTTTGTACAACTTATTTTGTTCTCTTTTCAAGAAGAATAATAATTTTAATGTTTATTTGACTTTCCTTTGAATTTAGGTCATTTTATCGATGTCCTTCAGACAGTTGGCAGTTTGACGATTATTGATGCTTTGCTTTCAATAAATGACTGTTTTCCGCTTATAAACTTGTTTCGTTCTCCTAAAAGTTGTACATCTATATGCAAATCAAAATAGGATTCAATTGGCGACGAAATTCAAGGAGCGACGACTTTTTTTCTTTCTTTCTTTCCTTACTGCTTTAAAATACTTGTACGCAAAAATATTTTTCTATTGGCTTCCTTAATTCTTTGTTACACATTGTGACAAATCGATATACGAAAAAAAAAACGAGAACGATAAAAAATATATATAATAACACAAAATAAGAAACAATGATTACTTTATTATTTTGGATTTATAAAAAATGAAGTTCGTTTTCGGGACTTTTGTAGTTTTTATTCTCTTGTTTTCAGAAGCATTGTAAGTCGACTGAAATTAGTTATTTTTAGTTTTTGGTTCATAATTATTGTTTCATTTCAGAGGTTTACTGTCATCTTCATGCAAAAAATGGTCTCACGCATGCCTAGCAAATGTTGATTGTTGTCCAAAGATGGGTCATCGTATAGTATGTGCTCCAAGTCTAGAAATATGTGGCAAGAAAATATGTTGTATTACTGAAGTTGAAGAACAACAAGAAAAGCAAGCAGCTATTATTCGAAATCGTCCTAAACCAAAACGTATTTGGAAAATATTGCTTGATGATGATGAAGAAAAATAATGATGAGACACGAATATTTTACATCTAAATAAATCTTTTGATTTTTTTTTGTAATTATATTTTAATTATCAGAACAAGTGTAATGAAATGTATATGTGCTTTTTTTTCTTTCGAAAACTTTCTGAGAGAAATGTAATATTTTATTTTCTAAATTAAAAGATAATGGAACGATCTTGTCATTTTTATGTTTAATTCTCCTGACACAGTAAAAGTTCATTTGAAATTAGATATCTAATCAATTTCATATTATTAATAGTACAGATTTTTTTTTCTTATATACAGTGATAGCTGCAGTCAGCACGACAAAAACAAATTTTCATCAGAGTACTGAAAAAGTAAAATAGCTTAATACATAATATGCATTATGTTAACGCCTCGCCCCCCCCCCCCCCAGGAAAAGTTAATCTTGGTCAAAAACATCGATTTTATGATTTATAGCTGGCTAGATAGAGCGAAGTGTCTACCCTCGAATGTTCTATAGTTTATTGACTTTATAATGCGATTTAAGTCATCCCGACGTTCACACTCACACTCTTGTAAGTATTACAGTAATCGAATGATTTTATAACAGATAGTTTTCATCACTACGATATTAAGTTAGAGCACTCTAATAGTCATAAACTGTCAAACATAGAATTGAGTATAAAAGAACAGACGTTTTTGTACTTTGAATCTGTACACATTCCAGATATGAATTATCAATTCACTACTCTAATAAACGAAAATCTCAGGTATGCATGGACTGTCAAAAAAACGAGAGAGCACGATTCATTAAGGACTTATGCATCCTTGCAGACAATATTCTTTGGAAAATAAATCTATCTGAATGCAAAGTTTTAATTTTCTTTTATTTTCCGCCTTCAGAAGATAATCGAAAGTATTCGTCCAGACCATGTACGTTTTTGACTGACGACGGATTGATTGTTATGGTCTTCATTCTTTTCCTCATTTTTATGCTTGTTCCTTTTATATTGGTACCTTACTCTTGTACCATTTCGACATTTCGGCGGCATCAAGTCTGAATGGATAACCTTTTTCTAAATACGATTTACAAACAACAACAAAAGCTATTTCCTTCCATTTTGATCATAAAATCTAGCAGAGCTTTCAAATGAGACCTGAAAAGTTCTCAAATAAAGTTACAATATGTCATGACGACTCTGATACTTAAGTTTTAGTTTATAATAGTATGACATTTATGTTCTACATCGCCATCAAGTCAGTATAGCGTATCTATCTAGACTCTAGTGAGCCTATTATGGTCAATAGATGTAGTCATGATTTAAAAACTACTGCCAAATAATTTAATATTGAAGCGAGATAGTCTTTTGTTTGTTCAACAACACAATGATCATAGAGAAGTCAAGATAGAAAGTAGTTTACGTTGTTCGTAGATTATGGATTCGCTAATGCACTAACTTGCGATGCCGTTAATTCACAATTATGCACATAGAATTCATCGAATGCTCCAGTAAATGGACCTCCAAAACCTGGAGTGCAACTGGCTAGACCCTCATCGTTTCCCAAAATCATATACGTAGGAACACCAGAAGCAGAAAATGAAAAACCACCTGTCGTTGAATACAGAGCACCATTTATATATAATTGAATACCATTACTCAAACTATACGTATATCCAATGTGTGTCCAGCTATTCAATGGAAGTATGGGGCCATTGGTTCCTACATCGCTCCCATTCCACAAATGTGCACTTAAATATCCAGCTGAATTCATTACCAAAAAGTGAACACACCAACTAGCCGATCGTTCCACAAGCACCAGTGTCGATGCTGCATAACTTCCTGTTGGTTGTGCCCACAAAGATATACTGAAAGCATGATTATTAATTCCCAAAAAGTAAAATGGAGCATATGTATAATATATATAGGATCCCGAACTAAATTGAATAGCTCTATTGATTCGACCTATTATACTTGTTAGAACGCCTGAAGCAGTTCCATTTATACCATTAGGACCATTATCAAGAAGAGAACCATCATTGAACGAATAATAGACATAGAGAGAAGCATCATTCCAGAGCTCTGTACTATTTTTAGCTCTAGATTCAAATCGAACTTGGTCTATGTAGCCATTGAAAGAATCCATGTTACCTGTACTATATGTAGCACCAATAGTTGTTGTACCCCATAAGCCTTGATAAGGACTTCCAGAATGTAAACCATTAAGCACACCATTGAGCCAGACTTCTTGTATCAATCTGGCTGAATCATAGACACAAGCGACATGAGTCCACACATTCATTGTCAGTGTGGTAGCGCCCTCTACATCATTGTCATAAAATCCACAATATAGTTTGTTGTTTCGTGATGTAAAATGTAAACATAAATTGGTACTTGTAGATTGACATTGACCAAATATTCCATATTCACCTCCTGTCAAACCAATAGGATAAATCCATACTTCGATAGTAAAACTACGTGAATTCAAAGGGATGACCATTGATGTGATAGAAACGAATTGAGATAATGATTGATTAAGATTAATTGCTGCTCCATATCCAAGAAAACTAGTTGTATATGATGGAAGACCAGAAAGAGTACTATTAAGACCATTGTATAATTCGAGAGCATTGTTATCAAATGGCCAAAATGCACCAGCTATGAATGCAGCTGTTGTAGTAGTAGTAGCTAAAAGTGTATGTTACAAATGAAAAATACATTTTAAACTTGGGAGAAAGTTTTCTAAGTTAAAAAGCACTTTAAGTAACAGGTGTTATTGTTGTTATCGATGAAAAAGATAGTTCATGAAAGTATTGGATCGTAGCATCAGTTAAAGATCCGTGGTGTTTACGTTTTTAAATTAATTTATAAATAGAAGTTTATAAATCGTAATTTCTTTTATCCACAACTAAAAACACTAATAAACAGATAAAGCTTTCATACGACTGGCTTATTTATCAATTAATTTATCTTATAAATGCATAGGTGATATATGTGTCTGGAGAACTTATATCTGGAATTGTTCAAAAAGTTTCAAATATCTAAAGACTTATATGTCAGTGTTGCAACCGGTGACGATAAATGACTGATCGGGTCTGGTGGAGGATTCTTTAAGGGTCCGTATATCAGCTGGTAGACACAACTTTTTCTGCATAGGGCAGTGTTCGATATAGGTCAAATTTTGTGATCCGATCCGACCCGAAGTCAATTTTTGTTTTTCGTAACCTGACTCGAACTAGTCCCACCTAAGGTCGACTTTTTTTTTGCGACCGATTCAAGCTGACGAGAGTCGAACTCCAATATCGATGACTTTCCTCTTTCTCTTGAAAAAATCAATTTCTCAATCCTTTTTTTCTTCCGTTCATTTCGTAGTTGGAAACAAAAGATATATTCTTGACCTCTTTTCGTCCTAGATATTATGCAGTTAGGAGACTACAATTATGTGACAGAATTTTTTCTTGTTCATCTTTATTTTCTTATGTATTCGACCTGCAACCACTATGTCACCATTGAACAGACAGTGCATTCGCTATGCATCGTTGTTCGTGGTTACTAAAGAAAAGTCAGTGAAGTAAAAGAAAAGATCGTATAATAGATAACTTCTTGATCTACGAAGCTTTTCCATGCTCTCTTATAGAACTTTTAAATGAAAAAAAACATTCAAAATGTGTTTGTAGCTACCAAATATTTAGACTGTAGATCCATCTGAAATCCAAAACTTTTTCGTACTACGACTCGATCCGACTCGAGGTCAACCTTTTTTTTCATGATCCGACCCGAGCAGAGCCGAGTCGAGTTGGATATTGACATCGGCCGGCATAAATTTTTTCGAATTCTTGCATTTCTTATTTTTTACAAAATTGACCATAGATGCCTTTTTTTCGCATATCAAACCAGTTTGACCGATATCCATGACTGTTCTACGGGAAACATGCATTAAAATATCTCTATTAAGGTTGATTCAGAATATCTATGTCTGGCGAACATTTGATTAGTATACAAAGTTAATACAGAATTTGTAGTTCTATAAATTTTTATTTCTATCAATAGATTCCAAAAGGGAAAAAACTTATAGTAACAAATAGTGAAGTAAAAGCTTTCGACACAATCCCTAATGGTTCAAAATATTAAACACAATGGAGCTACTTTAACTATTGTTGGGAGACCAGAGAGAAAACGCGGAAACTCCGTACTTTACCGTATTCTAAGGGCATGCCAAACTATGATCTAGAGTTCCTAAGTTATTTGAAGTCTACTATCTGTCGGAGAACCCGCTAGGCCGCTAAAGATATATCGAAGCCTCTGCCACAATCAGTCAGTAGGTTAAAAGAATGTTGGCATGTTTGTCGCGGTCTTTAGAGCAAGTTGGAACATATGGGATTAATTTTCTCGTCATATGCTTCAATACTCATTGACAATCATTTTTCACATATACACTATAATAGCGAAAACAGAAGTGTTATGTAATTTCTGCAGTGATTCAGAGGTAGGTATGACTAATCGAAGGTTTGATTTGATTCTTTCAGGATGAGAAATACGAAAAATTACTAATGCCGGTCTACAGATCGGTTCAGTCCGGTCTGTTCGATTTAGATCGGCACCAGTACCAGTAAAAAAACCCTACAGATTACAACACTGCTACATATATCTGTTCCTGGTTTATAAATTACGAATCTATTTCAAAATGTCTTTCTAATTCATAAATATCAGAAGCTGTTACAATTCCGGTTAAACTTCAGAGGACCCCCCCCCCCCCACCTTTTCCAAGGTTTCTCGAGAACGGCTTATCAGAAAAATTTAAAACTTTCACAGCTGATAGAACTCGATGGGTAGAGTAAAAGTTGCTATAGACTCAAAATTCTGAAATGCTTCTTTCTAGGAGATATTGAGGTTACAATGGCTAAAAATTGATCCCCAAATCGTCCCCGTTAGTCAGGCACAGTAAATCCGATCGGGCTGAAATTTTTTCTACAGATATTACAGATACTTTAGGGTGGCTACTTTTTTTAGCTTCTTTCCATCTCGTACTGTTCGAATAAAAAAGGCTAAATATGAAGAGCACCCTAAAAAAACGCATGTTTTTTTTGAATAACGCTTGTCTCTTAAGGCCTGCCAAAACTCAATGATACAATATTTTTTTAAAACAAAAAATAGTAGCCACCCTCAAGTGTCTCTACTATCTGTAGAAAAAATTTCAGCCCGATCGAATTTACAGAGCCTAAGAAACTGGGACGATTCTGTAGATTTTTGCTGAAAAATCTGATTTCTTGAAAACCACGAAAAAAACAAAAAAATCGTGCTATACCCCTACAGCAATTAATTTATCTTTTCGATTTTATTTTTGCTTCAGGGCTATATTTGAGTTCTCAAAATGTCACCAATAGATAGAGGACACTTGAAAGCACATGTAGAGCAGAAAAATGAAAATTGTGAAAATTTTGGGCCCAGAAAGGGGAGGAGGGGTCTCCCCTTAAGATCAATAGAACGGTCTCACGTGAGGTCGATGTTGTCGTGGAAGTGGTCGTAGTTATTGCTGTCGTTATAGTCGTGGTGGTGGTAGTTATTGACGTGGTGGTGGTAGTTATTGTCGTGGTGGTGCTAGTTATTGTCGTGATGGTGGTAGTTGTTGTTGTTGTCGTTTGGGTAATCATAGTAATTGTCGTCGTTGTTGTACTTGTCGTTGTGGTCAGAATAGCCATATAGGATTCTACATATAACGTTGACATAGATAAATACAATTTAAAAAAATCTATCGTAGCTGTTGTATCCAGCGAATTCATTCGGCAAATGAGTGGACTCGAGCAATACTTTCTCTTCAAACACACATGGACAGATACATCCTACCGTCACATTGTGTTTGTGGCCCATGATCATGGCTTTCTGAATACATCGAATGCGTGAGTTCTGAACTGAAATTTTGCCTGTGAGTAAGCCTTGCGACAAGAAGAATACTGCAAAGGTTTCAGCTCAAATGAAAATATCTTTTATAAGATATTTAGATGACAAAATCATTCCATTTATCGAAAGAAAAGTAGATTCTATTAAGTAATAGATATTTCGAAGAAGATACTCACATTTGAGCTGAAACCTTCTGGCATTCCTATGACAATTTGTCCTGCTTTTATGCGAAGTTTTGGTCCAGAACTCGCATATTCAATGTTTTTCAAAAGCCATGATGATGAGTCAAATATGCAGTAACGTGATCACAACTACGTCGAAGAATCACATTCATAAAAACTCTTATACGATTAGAACATTCTCATGCTTTTTTTTATATATACCGTAAACATGAACTGCAAAGTTATGGAACATTTGGAAAAGGTTCTACGTCAGACGTAACAGTTAGCTAGCTGATAAATGCGAAAGATGCATGAATTTATATTAAAGATGTCATATTTACATTATTCGAATCCATGCTAGCCTAGATGACTCGCTCGGCTTAAAAGTTAATATTTAATACTGACATAACACGAATTCTACTCGCTTATTTCATACTTTGTGTTGATAGCTGTGTCAAATAAAGAGTAAGTATTGCTGCCAATCCAACTCCAGCTACTAATCCACCAATAAGAATACCAAAAAGGAGTGGCTTGTACTGAGATACTTTACTGAAATAAAACAAAAAAATAAGGTAGACAAATGGATACACTGAAGTTGAAGTAAAAAGAATGACTGAACTAATTACCATTTTGTTTTGTTTGTGCCATTATTTTTGGACGAATTTTCACGACTATACGTAATGATTGTTGAGGTTGATCCTGTATGCCAAACACTAATAGGTTGATGTGGTTCTACATTCCGAGCATTGTGTCTTGGAAGCATATCTTTCCCAGTGATCTAAGCAAATAATCTAAGTTGAGTAGTTAATTTGTTTTCTCTGACATAAAATGAGCAAACTCTTGCAAGCTCGTCGCACAGGAGCGAAACAATGACGAATTTCGTAGTCTTCTTTTATTGACTGAAATGAAAGAATATTATAACTGAAATTGAATATTGTACGTGTAGTTCGACATACTATTTTCGTTCCTCTTCTATCAATGACATGGCAGAATGCATCAGAGCACCATTCAACATAGAAATCATACAATGGTTTTTTTTTTGCTTCAATCTAAATGTAAAGTAAAAAACAACATTCGATTTCAAATCGAAATGAAAGCCTCGTGAGTGTTAAAAATTATTTATTACCATATACAGTAGAATGCAAAAAAAATTGACATTAACTATATGAACTTTCCAGAATTTTTTTTCTTACTTATTCAAAGAAGAATATTCTGGAACTATGTCGAACATGGATGTTAGGTACTATAAATATCATGAAGGATAACATCCTTTCCGAAGTCTCTATCAGTTTAATAAAAATGACATCGAAAGTGAAGAATAACCATCTATCAATACATCGATCAGTGATCTTATATTATTATAATCTGGGTCATCGTTGTGCTGCTGAAATTGCTTGACAAACAAAGATTTCTGTGCGTGCTATCCAGTATAATTTGGCCAAGATTCGGAAAAAAAGATAGTGTGGAACATCGACGTGGTAACGACCGACCACGAAAGATCACAGCCGAGGACAATATTGCAATTGGTCAATGGATCCAAAGAAATAATGAAATTACTCCAAGTAAATTGTCGAAAAATTTCAATCAACTAGAAATCTGAACGTATCACGATGGACAATATGGCGTCAGCTTCATTGATTAGGTTATAAGAATGTTTTATCTCGAGGAACTTCAATGTTGATAAACGAACAAAAAGAAAGACGTGTCCAATGGGCTTTGGCACCCAAGGATGACGATTGGAGTCATACAGTATTCTCTGATAAAACCTCTTACCAATTATTCAGAAACACGATTCGTCGTTGGTCCAAATATGATCATGAAGAAACGAAAAGAATTCCGAAGAATAAACGAAAAACAATGGTACGGGATCTTTTAGTATCAAGGGTAAAATATCGTGCCATTCTTTTCGAACAACTATGGATGGTCCTCTTTATGTCAAAATACTTCGGAAACATCTTCTTGGTGGAATGAGACAGCAATTTGGACGTCGGTGGTGATATCAGCAGGACAATGATCCAAAACACATCAGTAGAATAGCAAAACAATTTTTGGAAGACGAAGTACCCGAAACAATCAACTGGCCCAGCAATAGTCCGGATATTAATCCTATCGAAAATATGTAGTCCATACTTAAGCGACGTGTAGAAAAACGAAAACCATCAAATATCGATGAACTGAACCAATTTTTACATGAAGAGTGGAAAAATGTCGAAATGACAGTTATAAGCAATTTAGTGCATTCGATGAAATAGAGATGTTTAGCAATTATTGATTCAAAAGGAGAAAGAATAAATTATTAAGTATTGTAGTTTTGTGGTATACTATGTATGTAAACTTTGCGTGAAAAAATAGATTTTGTTTGATAGCGATAAATAAAAACAAATCGTGAAAATTTAACGGCGATTTTTTTGCACCCTACTGTATATTGTGCTCGTTTTCGTATTAATTGAAATTTCATTGTTAATTATTCGTGCGGTCGAGTACATGATAGACGCTTCGATAAGTAGATATTGGATCAAAATCAAATATTTGTACCAAGAGAAAAAGTTTATTTTGTATATTAATCAGTAAACGAGATGATATTCTCTCGAACTGAGATACGTTGCTGACCTTCGTTCTACCTCTCTTGTTTCGCAGAGTTAAACAAATTGCAGTAAGCTTTTTTCGATTAATTTTTAACAATAACATGTGCACTATGATCTAGCAAAAAACCTTTATGTGAACAAGCATTAATTGTTAACAAGAGAATAAAAAAAAATCGGTTTGCATAGTATCGAGTCAACTCATTCATTAATATTTAAAAGAAAAGGTAAAAATCATCAGACATCGCGATTTTATCGCAATACAATCTTACGATTGATTGGCTTTATAAATCACGATTTTAAGGACATAGATGCTTTAATAAACAAGAATATTGTTAATATCTGTAGTCTCTATAAACAATACAAAAAGAACGTTTAATTTAAGAAATGAAATTATTATGACTCTGAAAATGACTATTAATTTTGTACAACGAACATAACTTATTATGAATGTATAAATTTAGATTCGAACTTTTTCTACTTCTCTTTTCTTCCCATGTTACAGGTACGTGTTCCAAATGGCACTTCTTTTGTTGCTACACATAATTCGTACTAAGATTTAACTCATACTATTCTTATCAAATCTTGTAACTAAATCAGATGCTGTAGCAATGAATGATTCGAGGAGAGTACGATTAACATCAAGAACAGATTGGAAAAAATTCATAAAAACTGATCTACTGTTAAGAATAACTAATTCGCCTAGTGGTATTGTGATGTCATCTTTCAGTTCACGAAGAATATGATTCAATTAGTTCTTCATCGAAATAAAATATTTCGTCATACTATTTTAACTTTTCTTGTCAACTAACGAAGAACTTTAATGACTTGATTTGATACGCTTTTGACTACTACCTACATTGGTAGTCGCTTTATAGTAAATGTTAGCGCAATCAATAGAATTTTCGCGGCGTAAGGTCAAAGATACGATGATCATGGTCGTGACCGTGATCGTGCCCGATAAATAGCTGTTAAGTCGATGATTCGTGACGGTACGATACATACATCTATCCACTAAATCATATATGAACACAACTATCATATATCTATTGGTTTAATCATTCTTTTATCTTGTTAAAAAATGAAGAGTGGATGTGTACGAATTGAATACATAAACATATAACTAAATAGTAAAAGAATAAACAAAATTAATGTAAAATGTCTACTTCTACGATATTTCGAACTATACGTCATTTTTATCTTAATTATCATCATTCAGGATCGACTTCTTTATGGATTCATTCAACTTTTATGCGACGTCTTCAATGTGCCTTGCGAGAAATGATATGTTTTTTAATTGTTGGCTTTCTTGCTTATGGAACTCAATTAGCTGATCATCTTTCACTTGAATATCTTCTTCCTGTTATAAGTATTCTGTGTTTACAAGAAACATTTGGATTGACACTATATTTTTGTTATCGAATAGCATTGACTATAACACCTCTTTCAATATTTTTATTTGTCATACAAAAAATTGGTCTTAATTATCATCATTATTTTGCAAGTGAACTTTTAATATTATTATTTACATCTTTTTGTATTTCATATGCTTGTCCTCAAGTAAATATTATATGAATTTTTAATTACTTTATAATTGATTTTTTTTTAAAAGATAAAATATGATTTTAATTTATTTAGATTCAAACTAAAAAACTTTCATTACTTTATAATGTTCTTTATTTTGCTTCAAATGCCTTTCGACATGAAACTCAATCAATATTTTCTTTTGAATTACTTGGAATTTATATTATGGGAATGTCTATGACATTGTTTATATCATTTTTTATCTTTCCTATTTTTGCTACTTTTGATATTGAAAATCGTTTTAATTATTCTCTATCAAAACTTCAACAAATGAACGTATTAATTATTCAAGCATTTTTGTCTCGTTCTAAAATAAGTGCTCATATGTCGCATAGGAAAGCATCAATAATAGAAAATATGATTCATAAAGCATTAAGTCCAATACAAACGAGACTTGAGGAATCTCGTTTTGAACCAGCTCGATATTTACAACGAATATTTAATCGAAAACATAGACATATTATTGATTTGACAGTAAAAGGTCAATTTTATTTAATTAAAATTTTATTTGTCATTTGTTTGTTTTTTTGTTCTGTAGAACAAGAAGATTTCATTACTTCATTAATGTTTCATATATGTTCACTTCAATTGATAGTTAAACATTGTTCATTTAATGATTATCATAATGCTTTTATACATGAACTTGAATCAAGTCTTTCACATCTTAGTTCATGTCAATCAATTGTTGTTTCAAGTCTTATCACATCTTCATCTGTTACTCAAGATGAATTCACTCATCAATTGATGAATCTTCAAGAAGCATATAAATCACTTCGTGCAGCCTGTGTAGCAGTTCGTCTTCAACGAGTTCAGCATGTACTTGAATCTGCAACAACAATTCAATTTGGAGATCATCTCTCACATACTTTTTTTCTCTTTCAACTTGGTTGCATTGTACGACTTTTAACACAAATAATGACAAACAAAAATTTCAAAAAACCTATTCCGAAAAAGCACGAAAAGAAAATATTAGATATAAAAGAACGATTGAAATTACAATGGCCACGTATATTATCAGCTATAAAGAGTATGGTAATTATTGGAGTTGGTTCAATCTTTGTTTTAGTACCATATTTAGCAAAAACATTTGAAAATGGACAGTGGATTTTAGTTACTCTCTGCGTCACACAAGGTGATACAGTAGGTGGAGCATTTACAACAATGAAAATGAGACTTATGGGAACATTACTAGGTATGTGTATTTCGAGGAGAAAACAGCAAAGACTTCAGTCTTGAAATCTTAGGAATTTTTTTTGAAGTTTTTGAGCTATAGCATTTAATATATGTTCAAGTCTCATGAAGTAAAGATGGAACCGATTTGAATTTTTCATAACCAATACTGGTCTATCGATGACCGACCAATAACCGGTACTAATTCCATCTCTGTGATGAAGTTGGCTGTCTCCCCCCTCCCGTTGGTATATTTTAATTTTAAAAATATTTGTTTAAATTCAAATAAATATTTTTTTTGTTGTCTAGGTTCGATATGGGCATACATAACATATTTATTAGTTCATGATAATGCATATCTAACATTGGTAACATTATCTCCATGGATTTTTATTTTTGCTTATTTGAGACTATTACCTTATTGGGGTTATACGGCTATTGTAGCTGCTTTTACACCAATCTTGATCAATTTGGGTCGATTACCATTTGGAGATGCAGTACCGGCTGGTAATTTTGCACTTATTCGAATTCAAGAAAGTTTTGTTGGCATTACAATAGCTGTTATTCTTACTCTATTGATTTTTCCAATTTTTGCTATTGATTTACTCAAAGACAATATTCAAAGTAAAGTATTGATATAAATATTCATATAAAAGAATCTTTTTCTTTTTTGTTTTTATAAATATATTTTAGCCACTCTTGTTATATGTCGACAAAGTATTCTATCAATTCATTCAGTTTATGATAAATTATTTTACCATAATAATTCACAGGAATGTTGTATTCATCTTGAATTAGAAGAAAAACAAATAGAATCATTTATTAATGATGAAAGAAGTCATTTTCATCGTTTAATTAGTCTTCAACGAACTTTGGTTGAACATGCATCACTTGAACCAACTATATGGTGGATTAATAATGGTTTCTCAACAAAATTTTATAATATACTTACTCAACAACAAATTGATACATATAGAATGTTACATAATATAGATGAAGCAGTAAGAAAATTAATATATGTAATTGAAAATTTATTTATTTATATTTAGTTAATAAGAATCAATGAATTTTCAAAGATTATTGAACATCTTCAATTGACAGCTGCTGAAGGAAATTTTCTTCCAAATTTTCATAAAGAATTTTCTGATTTAAGTAAACAATTGATTGATTGTTTTGATATATGGATATCTTATTTTACTTCATCTCAAACAAAATTTTATCAAATATTTCGTCAATGTATATTTACACGTAAAAATTTAATTAAAATTGATCTTAAAAAACATGAAAAATGTTTGATTGATTTACATCAAGCAGTTCATCGGCTACAAAATCAACATCAAGAAGGACTCAATCGACGATTGAAATATTATCATGATCGTTTAACTGAAGGTGAATCATATTCTACATTTGTACCTTATGCTAATAGTGATGAAGCGGATTCAATCTTTATTGCTTATTATGCTATGCATTATTCCATAACTCAATTTACTCAAACTGCGTTAACATTAGGTTATACAGTTCATGCTATTTGTGAACTTGAAACAACGCATCTTTATCGATCTTTCTAATTGTGTTTATCTTTCTACTAACAAAATTTATTGAATAGAGTTATATGTAACTATACATTTCAATCTTATTTTATTGTGTTCAATTGTTCGAATATAACTGTACATTGAAAAATAATTCTAATTCTATGATGTAGTCGAAGTAATTCTTAATAAAATTATTCATTTGCTCGTTGCATTGGAATTTACTATCTTATACAATATTGTTTGTAATAAAAGATGAATTCTACTAATAGTATCAGAACATGCTGTGTATTTAAATTGCTTGGACATTACTATACTATTTTGTGAAACTCACGTACATCATCGAAGAAAATAATGAATGTAAATTTAAATCGAGGTTTTTATGGCTCTTTCTCCCATAAGCCTTAGCAACCAGGAGTGAGAGGAGGAAGGACAAAGATTATTGGGTATGTTTTTCTAGTAATTGGAGGAGGTGCATAAGAAGTAACAGCGTTTTGATCATTCTGAGACTCCGTCGACTCCAAGTAATCTAAATATTGCGAGTTTTGGTGTTTAATACAGAGTAGGGATCTTAATGTAGGTAGTATTATGGATATAGTAGAGTCAGAATGGGACGGACATAGAAAAGTATGAGTTAATTGCATTCTAAGTTTAAGCAAAATTCAACAATACATGTCAAAATTCGTCGAGAGGAAGGATGATATGCGTGGCAGCATACTGAGTGATTAAATTGATGTGTATAGCAGGTTAATATGCTGGTTGAACCGATGAAATGAAGAATAAAATGATATTTGCCGCTTCCTATGGTATATATCGTATGTATTATCATTGGGAGAAAAGAATTTATATATTGAAGCTGTATCTAACATTATAAATAAGATCAATTCTAAATGCAAACATTTTCGAAATGACAAAATTTCAAAGTGCGGCTGTTAAGTATAAAAATTGTCATCATTTTAATTTATTCATTTATTTGGCATTCTTTTCTAAATAGATTATTTTAATTCCTCTAATAATAAACTATAAATTGTAACAGACTGATTTTATGAGTTCCACATTTTCACTTCTTATAGGACCACACTGACAAGCTTTTTCAGTTATTTATGTCACGATAAAAAAACCTTTAAACAGTATCGGTTAAAATAAGCAAGATCGACATGTTTTTGATTTTTTTCTATGATACTAACCATTTAATTCATGAATAGCCAATAAAATTATCTTTCAAATGCACTTCATATTGAAATTTCATAAATGGGCTAAGAGGGGAAGGTTTCTGGAAAACCAAACATAGTAGGTTTCAGTTTCCAGAAAAATTTTTACAAATCTCCGATGAGCAACCAATCTATTCTGTTGAAAATCATTCATTACCATGCTATAATATATCAACATATACATATGTATACGCACTACTAGAATGTCAATGGAAATATACATAAAAAAGATGATGAGATTCTATCATTATATTTTAATATAGATAACAAAACATTACATTTCTTTATATGTATCAAAATAGTTAATATACAATTACAAACAAAACAAAAGATTTAGATCTAGAATATTTAACTGCTGTCTGTATTTTTCTTCTTTATCAAGCAATATTTTTCCAAAATTATTTTGATTTAGGACGACGATTTCGAATAATAGCTGCTTGTTTTTTTGTTGTTCTTCAACTTCAGTAATACAACACATTTTCTTGCCACATATTTCTAGACTTGGAGCACATACTATACGATGACCCATCCTTGGACAACAATCAACATTTACTCGACATGCTTCAGACCACTTTTTGCATGAAGATGACAATAAACTTCTGAAATAAAACAATAATTATGAACCAAAAAAAAGAATAACTAATTTTAGTCGACTTACGATGCTCCTGAAAGCAAGAGAATAAAAACTACAAAAGTTCCGAAAACGAACTTCATTTTTTAAAAATCCAAAATAATAAAGTAATCATTATTTCTTATATTGTGTTATTATATATATTTGTTTCATTCTTGAATTTTTGCATTTCGATTAGTCACAATGATTAATGGCGAATGATTAATTAGGTTGATGGAAACATTTTTTTTTGCGTATAAGTATTTTAAAGCGATAAGGAAAGGAAGAAAAAAAATTGAAGTCGCCGAACTTTAAGTTTCATCATCGTCTTAATCGTCTTTTGAATAGCATACAAACGGATATCTTCTGAGAGAACGAAACACATTTATAAGCAAAAAATGCAATTTCTTACAAGTAAATCATCAAAAAGAGAGATATGTTCAGATTTCCGAAAAAAAGAAATTTCCGAAAATACCAAAATTTCTTCGATACCATTTAATGACATACATGTGCGTAATTACAGAAATTTCGCAGAAATTTCACTAACTACCATTATATTGGAAAGAAATTTCCGCACAAATTTCCAAATTTTCAGATAAATTCCAAGAAAATTTTCTGGCGATTTCGGAAACTACCTTCACATAAGAAAAGAAATTTTCTGCAAATTTGGATAATTACTCATACTATAGAAAGAAAATTAACAGACAGTTTCCATAAATACCAACTCTCTAGACGGAAATTTATCAGTAATTACAGAAAATACGAACACATGCAGGCGAAATTACGGGGACATTTCCGAAATTAACTAGTTGTCGCGAAGAACTTTCTACAGAAAATTCTTCGAAATTTCTGTAATTACTAGGAAATTTATCTAAATTCTAACATTATATCATACACATAAAAAGGTAGATATCAATTTAAAGAGTCTAACACTTAAAACTTAAAAGAATTTATAGTAATTTCGGTACTTACTCAGAAATTTTAGTAATTACGGAAATTTCTATAATTTTCATACTATTATCATGTGGGTATGATGATATATACATAGATTCAAAGAACCCTACCCCTCCCCCCCCCCCCAAAAAAAATGGAAGAAATTATGGTAATTTCGGAGATTATCTAGAAATCTTAGTAATTCTCAGGATTACCATGAATTCCTCTAGTTTTTGGGGTAGGATTCTTTAAATCTGTACACATCTGATGATATCTGTATTATAATATTAAAGAAATGATAGAAATTTTCTCAATTACTTAAATTTCTGGATAAGTACCGAAATGACTATAAATTCTTTTAATTTTTAAGTGTTAGGCACTTTAATCGATATCTATCTTATTATATATGTATAATGTAATTTTAGAATTTAGAGAAATTTCCTAGTAATTACCGAAATTTCGAAGAATTTTCTGTAGAAAGTTCTTCGCGACAACTAGTTCATTTCGGTAATTTTCTCGTAATTTCATCTGCATGTGTTCGTATTTTCCATAATTACTGATAAATTTCCTTCTGGAGAGTTGATATTTATGAAAATTATCTGTTAATTTTCCTTCTATAGTATCAGTAATTACCCAAATTTGCAGAAAATTTCGTGTCTTATGTGAAGGTAATTTCCGAAATTTCCTGGTAATTTCCGAAATTTCCTGGAAATTTCTTTGTTTTGGTTATAGTTTGTTTTGTATAGTATGGCAGTAGTTACGGTATTTTCTGAAACGTACATTTTGTATAGCTGTAGTTTCCGAAGTATGCACATTTAAGAAGGAAATTTCCTTTTTCGGATATCTGTCCAGTACTGTTCGTTTACCGAATAATCTCAACGCTTGATACGTCGTGTTTAAGTTATTGTCAATCATACTATAACTTCAACTATGATTTTACTGTAACAACAATTAAAATAAACAGAAAAAAATTGATTTAACAATTAATCAAACTTATGGATAATTGGAAAGCATTAATGCATATTGAACTTTTAAAAAATCATCTCACAGAACAAGGTAAAATGACAATAAATCAAGCTGCTATGTTATATAAAACATGTTCGATTTACTTGGATTTTACTTTTCAACGAGTACATTGATTCATCTATTCGTGTTTTTAATTTTTTTGTATATTTTCTATTTATAATTTGTTGCATAAAAATGTATTTTTGTTATAATAGTCAGTAAATATTGGATCTGTGATTCAGAAATATAATTGTAAACGATGTAGAATTAATTGATAGATTTAAACGTGACATATTGCTAATTATTGAAAAAAATACTATCAATTTGAAGAAAATAATTTTTTTCTCGAAATAAGAAGATGCGTACGCTCATTACACCATGATTTGCTAGATAGAAAAGTAATGCTTCACTGGAATGGTCCCCGTTACATTTTGCTGAGCCCTTTATCAAACAGTCATTGGATGATTACTTTAGCACCAAGAAGGAGAAAAACTGGTTATTTTATAAAAAGAGTGAACAATATGAAATGCGGAAACTTATATCACCAGACTTAGTTGTACTAAATCGTTTACGAAAAAAAACAAGTATGAAAATTACTAGAGTCAATCAAAGATCAATAGAACGAGTTGTTTTTTATATTACGCTATTTATTTTAAACAGTTCTATTTCGATACCGTTTCTTTATAATAAATATATATCCTATATAAGGAAACCTTGTTTCTTTTTATTTTTCTAGCTCGGAAAATTTTTTGAAAAAAATTTAACGTTCGGAGAAATCTTCTTTTTTTTACGGCATATTCTGCACCTCTAATCAAAGTACGATTTGAACGTGTCCGAGTTCCAAAGTTCTGAATCTAGCAGGCTCTACCTAAAACTGAGTTGTCCGAAAATTTTCGTTTTGCTTTAGAAACGGCATTTTAGTAATAGAACAAAGGCTTGTTTTATACCCGACAGTGTCGTTCTCAAAAATAGAACAAAAAAATTGTTCGGACAGAGTAGTTCCAGAAACTGAACTGTTTGAAAATAACAGTTCAGATCAGAGAATGTTTTCAACAGTTCCTCACATCCGAGTCAGAACTAAACTTGTCGACCTCTAATAGAAATAGTTTTTTTTTAGTCCTCTTAAATATAATTTTAAGTTTTTATATGATAAATTAATTAAATCATGATCAACCTAATTTAACTATATTCTCTTTTCGTTTCTTTTTAAATATAGTATTCAAAAAAAATCCAGTGAAGACATTAGTAGTTAATAACATTTTTTAATCATTTATCACAAACACAAAACACACACACACACACACACACACACGCACACATACACACAATATGCATCGTTATCGTCCATCTCGTCTGGTCGCTATTAGTTAAGATCATTAAAACAGATATAATATATAAAGAACAGAAATGTATAGAAAAATAAAGTGAGCAAGAAAAGAAAAGAAAAATGTACAAAAAAACAAATGAAGACAAAATAAAAAAAATGAATGCATCACCGATTGAGACTGGCGATAGTATTGTTCGAATTTTGTATGCCACTATCATGACTATCAAACTGATCCTGTTCATTAGATGATGGTTGTATGGCAGCACCATTATTATTGGCAAATTGAAATATTGGACAAGTATTAGCAACAACTTCAAAAGCATCACGTCGATCAATGTCAAGTAATTTTTGAAGAAAATAACGTATTGTTAATGAAGAATTTTTTCGTCCTAATTCTTCAAATAATTGATCAGTTTTAGATTGAAATAAATCTTCTTGATCAAGTTGTGGTATAAGATGTTGTTGTTGTAATGCTATAGCTAATAAACACCAATCTCTACCCATTTTATCTTGTTTATCAAATAAACGACAAAGTAATTGTCGAGTTTTTAATGTAAATATTGATATTGGTAAATCAATACCCATAGTTAAATTTGAAAATATTTCATTTGAACCACAACATAATAAATCAATAAGATCTTCATCAAAATCAATTGATGTTATAGGAGAAATTTCTTTAGATGGTGTTAATGAATAACAACTATTCAATGAATCGGTTGAATGATGTTGTTTTATTATCGTTAAATGATTATTATTATTATTTCCATCGAGCATTGATGTCTAAAAAAATAAGTATATAAAACTCATACTTTTTTTTTCTTGATAGTAAAATCGGTCTGATGTAAATACAATCGAGTCTGGTCAAAAGTGCTCATTATTAGAAGTTTTTCAGTTGTTTGTTTTCAATTGATAAATATTCACTTGCAATCGATTTTCGACTGCATAAGATGATCTTTTTCTTCTTTTCAATAATTTATTAGTTCAAACAATCATCTAGTTTCCTGAAATAATAACTTTTTTCATGACACAAAACTAATGTTTTCTAAAATAACTATAAAGTATGTTTTGAACAGGTTATCGGTCCGATTTGATTCAATTTCAAAACACGAACCGATTACATCTCTGGTGTGGGTGTGAGTAGATGATAAACAAATCGGCATATGCATCCACACCCACACTCTGTTTTTTCTTCTACATACGCACGATTAGTCTATCTTCTTCTTATATTTATTCTATGATTGTTTATCATAATCTAATACATATAGCATCATTCTTTTTCTCTTCTGCGCATAAGTAATAGAACACATGTTACTCAGATTATGGAGGTTGTTATTACTCATGGGACTAGAAATAAGCGCTTACTGTTTCGATATAAGGAGGTATTCACATAGAAAGATGTTTACTGTAATTTGATAACAAACCTGATTTGTTTCATATTGTTGCATTAATGTTTGAACAATTAATTTTGGTGAATATGTTCGATAATATGGTGAAGTATTTACTTTTGGTTCAATAAATGCAAATGGTATTGAAGATGTTGAACAAGGTGAACCAGGAGTTAAAAGAGATGAATCTCGGTCAATACTTGGTAATGATGTAATAGATGCTAAATAACGTCGTTTTGTTGTTGATGTTGGTAAATGCAATGTATTTACTGTTGATATTTGATTTAAATGAAGATGTTTTGTTGATATATAATGATGTTCAATTTGTAACATTGGACACATTTGATTAAAAACATGTTCAATAAGTGAAAGAATATCATGAAATAAATAAAAAATTTTTTCACGATTTTGTGTTTGTCCTCGTGCTTTTAATTCTATATGTGTTGGTATATTTTTTGTTAATAATAATTCAATCATTCCAACAACTAATTTTGAACCTTCAGTCCATTGAAATAATTCAACATCATCACCACCACCATGTTGAACAAATTCATTTGACATAATTAAACGACGTAGATGTACTTGTATTCGTGGAAAAACTGACCAAAGTAATGATGATAATGTACGTGAACGAATTTCACAACCAATATAAATATATTGTACACCAGAACGTTTTTCCCATAAATCCGACATTATTTCAATTGTATTTAATTGAGGAAATTCAAATTCATATTCACCATTTATATCAATTTGTGTACAAAGATCATAAGCATTAAATATTTGTAAAAGGTCAATGGGATCAGAAATATCAGGAAATAAATTTCGTATATCATTAAGTGCAAATGTTTCATTTGATGATGAATGACGTTTACAAATTCGTTGATGACTAAGAAGACCACCTAGAATTGTTTGACAAAGCCAATTTGGATCAAAACAGATTAAATCTTCTTGAGGATCACCTTCCAAATATAGAATCTAAATAATAAAATTAACATTAAGATTTATTTTTTGAAATAAAACAATAACTAACAGACTATTGAAAACTAATTTGATTTAATATTCATTCATGTTTCAGTCTCTTAAGAGTGTTGTCCATCTTTTTTTCGACAGTTTCTGGTTCTCGAAAATGGTATAACCGACCACCAAACTGAAATTTTTTCTCTTTAGAAGTAAAATCGACTGTTTTCATGTTTGACTTTCCTATCGGGATATATAGGATCATGAAAGTCAAGACTCAGATTTTGACTTCTAACCTTCACGTATTTTTCTTATTAAAACAGTAACGTTTTTGGTAAAACTTAAAATTATCTCTGAGATATAGTCTTAGGTATTTCAAAAAGGATTTTCAGTCCAATCGGATAAAATTTGATGAGGAACGTAAAATACCAGGATTTTCCAGCAAAAACTGAAAAAACCTATTTCAAAGTTTTTTTCTTGGGATACGTATCTCCTTATTTTTAATACTCTATGTGTGATAGAAAATCCAGCTAGATCGTTTGTACCGTCTTTGAGAACCAGAAACAGTCAAAAAAAGAGAAGATATACTTAAAGATGTCTGAAACCAGATGTCCCACAAAAATGTTAAAGTCATATTCGTAAAGATCGCAAAATTCTGATACTAAACAAATGTTTTCAAATTTCTGCAAGCGCCTTTAAGAGGCTGAAAAATGAACGAACATTTTGTCAAATTACTTTAATAATCGATTACCACAGTAAATATTTCTTTTTCCATAAAATAAAACAAAATCTTTTTTTTTTAGTTTTTTTTTCGTATATATTATATTAAAATAAAATTCTTTGTTTGAATACTCAAAAGTTAATTTCATTCAATAGAACTTACTTCTCCCATTATTTGTAATTGTTGAACTAATTCTCTCATATGTTCATCACTTGCTAATGGATTAACTTCTTGTCTAATACATTCAACAAAACGTGACCATGGCATAATTGGAAAATGTCCATATGTTTTTCTCCATTGTTGTTGAATATGACATGTACAACGATCAAGAAAAATTGTTGGAGATTTTAAATTTTGACATATTCGTTCTTTATATTGATTAAAACATGAAATAAGATTTTTCATTGATTGTGTCCATGCAGCACGTGTGTCCAGAAGAAAAATTTTATCATAAAAATCAAAATCATCAATATAACGATTTTTAATATGATTTATAAATATTTGTATTCGTTCACATGTATAATCTCCATCATCGGATTTTATACAATCATATAAAAGATCAGCATGTGTACCAATAAGAACTATTTTAGGTAATTGAGCACTTCGACCATTATGTCCTATACATTCATAATGTTAGAATAAAAAAACAGTAATATACAACTGTTTACAACAACAAAAAAAATACTGCACAAAACTAAGAATTATCATTCCAGCAGTTTCATGTTATATGAAAACATAGTATAGAATTTAAGTTTTAGGCAATAGTACCTATCCATCCAGATATTACACATTCAACAACAGTTGAGATGAAATTCAAGGCATTCTACAATGAAAGTGACTCGAAACACGGCAAACATACAATTCCGAGATGTGACGGTGAGTATACCATTTTAGGCGATGGCTCTTCGAAAATTGGTCACAGAAGTAAGACGATACAAGTACGATCGGTTTTTTTTGTTTTGAATATGTATAAATTGAATAACTTCTCATCTGTTATTTACGACAAAAACCTATTATATATTCTTATTGCATTATTAAAGACATGCGTGTGATGACCTATGAAACAGAAACTGACATGAGAAATCTGTGTTTATAGTATTAACTAATTAGAACTATTTATCGGAGTAGAAATAGTCGATGGCACGCCTACGCTGCGCAGGAAAGATACATAATTGATTCTTTAGTCGTCGGAATGATAAGATCATGCATAAAGAATCAAATAAAAGCTTATCGAGTGTCCGAGAATCCCGTAATATTGTTAAACTACAGTGATCACAAAAAGTCCTGCTATCAAACAAAAAGGATTCAAAGTTTAATCCTTTAGTCTTATAGTTTGATCGCAAATAGAACATGTTGAACTCCAATCATAAAGACTTATTAGTACCTGATCAGCTTTCATGCGGAAGAGCTTGTAGGTCAACATAATATTTTTCTTCAGACAAAGATATTTCAACGTAGAAAATAGATCTCATGACGTTAGACCCTCGCGTTCGACAGCTCAGTGGCGCCTCTATCATAAATTAAATTTACATGTCAGACAGTTTTAGTTCACATAATTTATGGAGTATTTTTTGAGTAATCTTCACACGAGAGTTGTTGGAAATCGTTGAGAAGTGACTCATATCTCCAACTAGTTTTAACTATTTGCCTTAAAATTCTCTCCCGTGTATGCCATGCTCTAATCAAGTTTTTCTTGAGAACTTCATGATTGCAATCATCAATGGAGAAGAGATCCATGCTATAGATCAAGTCAATTTATAAAGGAAGAAATACCCATGAAACAATATGTACAAGTTTTTTTTAAAATTTGTAAACAGTTGTAGATTAAATACAAACCTAAAGGTTCTTGTACTGAAATTCGCACACGAAGAAATTCAAGCCAATAGACTAAATTTTGTTCTAATTGTTGTATATCATCAAGAAGATTAAATAATAAAACATGAATACAATTGAAATCTCCAATAAAATGATCATATATTGAATGATAAATCTCCATACCAGCCTATTAGTAAAATATTCAAACTATTAATTTACTTCTTAAAGCCTTCTCCCTCCCGTATAAAATCGACTTTCGACGCAGTGGCATAGGATTTCCATGAAACTTTCTGAAGATGTTCAACTAATGAAAGTACGCTATTAAAAAAAAATTTTTACGCTTCCGAATCTTACCATTCAGAAGACTTCCAAGAGCTATAGTGCAAAATAGGACTCTCGCGCGTATAAATGTTTGTTTTTCAATACACTTCAAGTTACAGCGTTCGGGTTACTAGAACTCCTTACCGCTTTAGATGAAAGAAAGGATTTTTTTCATATTCATTTTATTTCATTTTTGGAGTCCTCAAAATCTTAGGTAATGTTTTCTAGAAAACCAAGGATTGTTTTGATATTGAGGATGGAATGTAAAACTCTTTCCTCTCATTCGAAAGAGAATGTATCTATCTATCAAATAAAAAAGAAATCATAATTCACTAAAACGAACACTACTGAAAAAGAAATTTGTTCTGAATTTGACAATTCATGCAAAAGTCAATATCGAGAATTTGTATATTTACCTGAAAAACTTTCTAACACAAGCATCAAATATGATTATATGACGTACCAATCAAAAATTCTTATCGAGTGGCCTTCTAGCTACACGTTGAACCATGGTAAGGAGTTGCAAGTGCATTAACTCTTATAATTTTTCAATGGAGATGGCATTGGCCTTTTCGCTAGATAGTTCTAGAAACTTATTATGAGTTTTAAATAACTATGGTAAAACTAGTAGTCATCCTTATTAATTTTCAAACTAGGCATCTTCGTTATCATGCCTATATGTTTATCTCAAAAAGATTCTTTTTCTAGACAAATCAATTGTTCGGAGGGCGAGGTATTAATAAATATACTTACAAAATCCCAAGCACTATATTCTCCACCACCTGAATAAATAAAACAAAGTTTATAAAAATAAATAATTTTATTGATTTTATTTTACCTGTACATGTTATTTGTTGAATACCAATACCCTTTGAACTATTTATATTAGTAATTTCTGGGTCATCAAAATTTATTGATTTTCGATTTGCTAAATTAAAATAAATCCGAAATTCTTACATCTTTTTTTTTTCTTCGAACACATCGTTTTCTTACGATTATTTTTTTTCGTACTGCTAAGACGATTACGTCGAAAAAAGCTGTTCAAATACGAGCATTTTAAACTACCAACAAGAGTTGTTTTTCCTATGAAAAAAAAACAATTTTTTTCAAAATGAAAAAAAAAAACAAAACAAAAATATTCATTTTAGTCAATTACCTGAATCACAACTTCCAAATATTTTTAATTTTATTCTTTTTAATGGTTGTTTTGTCGGTACAAGTTGTTCCATAAATACTGCACGATTATCCTATTCAAATAAAAACATCAAGACAATTTGATTAAAAAGAAAATATTCAATTTATTTATTTACCATGCTTAATGATTTAAGTAATTGAACTATTTCTGTATTACCATTTATTTCAGCTAACACACAAGCAGTTCGACCATACTATATAAAACAAAAAAAAGAAAACAAAATATTGACTATCAAAAAAAAAGAAAATAAAGCTAACTTTATCTTGAATGCTTAAATTTAAACCAGCTAAACAAAGAAATCGAGCTATTTCTATATGACCATGGCGAGCAGCTAGATGTAATGGAGTTGCATCAGCTTTATTTTTCATATCCATTCGACAACCCAATGAAGTTAATGCTTCGACAACAGGCAAAAGACCTTCTCGACTAGCATAATGCAATGGAGTTTCACTATTCTAAAATATTCATTGATGTTCTTTTAGTTTTCTTTTTTTTTTCTTTAATGAAAATTTCTATTTAATTATCATACATTATCCATTATATTTATATTACAACCAGCATGAATTAATGTTAAACCAATTGGTATTTGTTGTCGTTTACAAGCAAAATGTAATGCTGATAAACCTCTCTAAAAGACAAAAAAAATAATATAAATATTTAAATTATCAATAACAAAAAGAAAAATAATAATTATACTTTATCTTGAATATCTAAATGTGCTTTATTATTAGTTAATATTTGAACAATTTCAGCATTGCCACGTTGTGCTGCACAAATCAAACCTGTTTCTCCTTCCTTATAGAAAACAAAAACAAAGATATAATTATTAATTATTCATTTTTTTTTAAAATTCATTCTTACTTTATTTCGAATATTAAGATCAGCACCAGCACCACATAAGATACGACAAATTCGAGAATAATCATGCCAAGCAGCAAGAATCAATGGTGTGTCTTCTTCCTAAGAATATTCATACCAATAGGAAAAAAAAAGAAAATAAATAACATTCTATGATAAAGAAAAACAACGTACATCATCTTGACAATCAACATTACTACCTAATTTACATAAATTTTCAACAACATGAGCATGGCCATATCGAGCAGCAACATGTAAACTGGTTTCACCATTCTTATTAAATAAATAAAAAAATTTAGAATATAAATATAAGATAATCGAATAATCTTACTCGATTTGATACATTAATCGGAACGCCTTTTTCATGCAGAAATGTTATTATTGGTACATGTCCTTGTCTTGCTGCCCAATAGATAGCATTATTTCCAGACTAAACAATCGATTTCCCTTTCAAATGTCTAATCAATCAATCAATCTGATATAACTAACCCCATCAACAACTGTTAGATTAGCCTTTCTATCGGCCAATAATTTAACAATATCTATATGACCAGCACCACAAGCAAAATGTAATGCAGTTTCACCATGCTATTTAAAATATAAAATAATAAATTTTATCAATAAATAATTCAATTCATAATACCTTATTTTCTTTATTAAGATCAATAGTAGCGAGATTACATAATTTTTTAATATTAGCTAAATCACCATCTTCGGCAGCACATAGGAGAGCGGTTAAAACAAAATCATCATTATCCTAATAGGAAAGAAAAACTTAAATTCGTTTTCTTTTTTTCTTTTATATTGATTTTCTTACCTCAGCATAAGATCGACCAGAGACATTTGAATCAAGATTATCTAAACTAATAGCGGATGAGATGGACGATAGACGTAATTGTGACTTAAATAGCAAAAAAAAAA